GTGACGTTCAGCGCAGCCTCGTTTTAATCGAGGCTCATTGAAGCTCGACTTGAATTCCGCTTCTTTCAACCGTCCATCGGACTCTGTCCAGGTGATATAGAACCGTCGCGATAAACTTGCGCCATCCCGCCCGATAACCCACGACCGGAAGTGCCGTGGGTCCGCATTGGAAGACCCGTGGAAGATACGGTGAACGCAAGAACGGAAGTCACGGAGGTACAGTGGAAAATGATAAGTTACGCGGGGACCGATCCACCACCGATCGAAACGACGTATTCGCTGAATACGAAATTTTGCTCCCGTTCGATCGCGATAAATCACTCCACCGACGATCTTTTCTTGCCGTGCCACCGCGAGTATTCTCCAGGACCCCTCTGTTCACCTTTTTGCCTCTTCATTTCGAAGAAAGTTGAACCTGAGACGGGGAGGGGTCGGTATTGGAAAGGGAAAAAACAGAGAGGAAAAGAGCAGGATCGATAGGGTGAAGTTACCCCCGGCTGGCATACGATCTCCCTTTCACGGATCCTTCAATGAAAAACGTTTAAGCCCCCGATTAGATTGGACCTTTACTACCCCCCCCCCTTTCTCATCGTCCTTCCCTCCTCTTGGTGAAATTAATGCGACTTGGCCCGACGTTTTTACACGATGCTTAAAGCTGACTTAAATTTACAACTTGGGACGTTTCGCGGACGACTCCGGGGAAAAAGTGAACTTCGAGAGCTTGTTATCGCCGAGTAATTAACGTGTTCGTAGCTCTCCCTTTCTCTGGGCTACGGAGACCCCGATATTTAACCGTTTTCTTTTTTTTGGCGGTAATTTGATCGCAGTTATGACGATGGAATTAATTTCCATCGGATCTCACGATATAATGCGGGTAATTAATTGACAGCGTCGCGCATTGTTGTTGTTGTTGATATTGTTGCTTTGAGAATATTTTCTCAAACCTAGTATTGGTTTTTCATGACATCGAAGTCTGTAGTGTTTTTATAATATCCATTCTTATTCTACAATATCCTCCTGCATGTTTAATATTTATTTAATACTAAATGTTTACTTCATATTAAATTAAACTTAATAAAAATAGAGTTAATTACTTGTTAGTAACATACTTAAATATTTAATATTAAATGAATGTTAAATACTTACTTAGTATTTAATATTCATTTAATATTAAATATTTAGATATGTTATTAAAACAAAATAGTAGCTTATTCACTGGTACCTGTAACTAATTTTTCAATTTCTTTCGACAATATTTTTCCCAAGATTCCGATAGCAGACAAAAAAAAACTTCGAATCGCATCAAAGTGCTTTCCACTATAAATACACCTAAAACGAAGTAAATGGAGTAGCGAAGGAAATTAAATTAAATGTTATAAGAATCTCAGGTTGTTCCACCGTAGCGGCTGCTGTTTCTTTTACGGCGACCTCGTTCGTGGCGAAGTCGCGTGGAAACGTGGCTGGAAATTCCTGCAGATTCAAGGTTTAACCAAGTCAAAGGTATCGGTGGTCTAGAGCCTGATCCTCTCTCCAGAATTCTCCGGAGCTTCATCGAGGAGTCACAGTACGATCGTGTTTCACGGTGTCGGATACAGGCCATAAACAAACGCTTTCGCAAACCTGTTTCAATACGTGGCGGAGAACACGCCCGCTGAAATATCTACGCCAAACCCCGCTGATTTCCGGGCGGAAAGAAATCCGGAAATTAATTTTTTTTTCTCATCGATCTAACCATAGCACTGAACCGTTCAACATCTTCTGTGGCACAGGGGAGAAACTATACAGTGTGAGTCACCTAACGTTTGCATCTCAAATATCTATGTTGTTTTTAACACATGGGAACAAAAAATAAAACATTTAATTAAATCATTAATTTTACTTCTTTAAGCTATATACGTAAAATGTAAGCACAATAACTGCAATAGTTCTAAGGACAATAAAAAATAAAAAATTTTACCTTATTCTGTATCAGTGCCACAATGAATGAATCCAATTATTGAAATAATAACAGTCGTGACGAAAGCAAGCTTTTGAAAAGCCGCTTTCCTAACGTTTGTATTTATCGATGAGTGTATGTGAATAATCACGATATTTTAGGCTTACGAACCATTATAAGACTAATTAAAGATTCGGTTCACTTATACAAATACTAAAATAATCATTTTTCTCTCATACAATCATGACATTCTTAAGATTATTTTTCATTGTCCGTGTCTATTGGAGCATATACATCTACGTATAAAAGTGAAAAGATGTATACGTGTATGCCACGTAAAGGCTTCTAAACCGATTAACGTATTCGCACCAAATTTCGTATGAATATTCAACGACACCCTTGAAAAACGATTGTGGAGGTCCCCACCCCTAACCACCCCTACGGCCAACTCCCTCTTCAGGGGCACATTTTTCTCCCGAATGAAACATTCAAATCATAGATCATCTATAAGTTTTTCGGATTGCTGACTACAATTTTGTCGCCTCGAAAGCCCGAGCAACGCCAAGCACTCACAGCTAGTGGTAACCATAGAATTCTCGTCTACTCGAGTTACCTAGAGCGTGCGCATTTCTGTCAGTATCATCCACTCAAATTAATCCGAGCGTGCTCCTTAATGGATCAAGAGATATTCCACCGTTTTCAGTCAAAAAGGACACCCTGTATACTATCAAATGGAAATTCCATTACCACCATGACAGAATCCACCAAAAAAAGAAACTAAAACAATTTCACAAGAAACTCGTGAAACGATTCACCATACTGTCCAATATCACACGCGCGTTCGTTTACACCCCTCCCCCCCCCCGCCCTTGTCCCCGTCGTTATATTATAATTTCGTATTCCGAAGTGTGCGTTGCATAAGGTCCAGTAACGTTAGCATATAAAAGTAGCAGTTTTATCGAAGTGCCGGCGAAAACCGGATTCCCTCGAATACAGTTTTCCGATACCCGTGTGGAGCTCGATGATCCCCTCCTCGCGGTCGTCTCGATCATTCCATCTCCCACGCGACATTTCTACCGGTGGACAAACATAACCTATACACGCGCAAGCGAAACCCACCGACGACAACGGTCAGAGACACACTAGGGCCGATATCCTGACAGGTTATTGGCAGTTCGAGGGCTGAAAATGCCCGGCCCGGCAGTATTGGTCCCCGTTTTCCAGCTTTACGATGACGGCCATTGTTATTGGCATAGTGTAGCTTCCCCCACCAACGGAAAAATAGTCGACGTTTCCCCCGCGGGGGTGAGAGTTAAAAAGATGAGGTTCGACATCGAACTCGACAATACACTTAATCACCGCGTTATCGGAAGCTGTGCCCTTTATTTTTTACTGTTAGAGTCTTAAAGGTTAATGTTTATCGAGCACACCTACGATGTGAATTTTTAGTGTGGAATAACACTGATCGTTGAACTTTCAAGTTTGTGTTTTTTTTTTCGTTGGTTGAAAAAAATTAATCATTTACAGTATGATACAAACCAGTAAATAGAAATTGCATACGTTAGTGTAACAAAAATTGACCAAGAAAATGTTTAATAGATACTTTCGATTATTTCATTATACACTGTGTGGCCCAACTATAAAACCATCCTAACAATTTCAATTCTTACGTATTGTGATTAAATTAAAAACGAACCAGGTATGCCATGTCTGAAATTTGTGTTGAGAAATCATGTTACACTAGAAAACGATAGATTATATTCCTTAGAAGAAAACGTGGTTCGTTTTTATTTTAACCACGATACATAATATTAAAAATTTTAGGGTGATTTTATAGTTATGCCACGCAATGTAGTAATCAGTTCTCTTACGAAGTTCCCTTGTATATACAAGAAAAACATAAAACCCAGTCAGTGCTCACAAACGATAAGAATATCCGTTTCGCATTCAGGTGGTGCAACGACATGAAACGAGACCGTGAAACCCGATCGAGTAGCAGTCTTTTAATTTATAACTCTTTGAGTTTTCGTATCGTCCTTTATACTTATATCGAATACTAATGTCCCGCAGGGACTCCTAAGCGTCGTAAATTACAATCGGACACTAAGCCCTTTCGAATCGATCTGACAACCTTCTTTGATAAATGTGTTTTGCTCCGCGGAATTGTTCCGCGTGCACAGTACATGCGATCGAAACGACACGAACTTGTTTTCTTCGTGGCAACGCTTCTAGCAAACATTCTACATCTTTCAGTATTGTATTTTCATTTTTTATTTGACTTGGTTTGGGTAAATTAATTTTTAAACGACCAATTTCTTATTTCTTTTTAAATCTCTGATGACAAAGCAATTCTCATTTCGACTGGGTTCGGCGGATAAATGAGTACAAAACGTTTTTACGAAACTTTATCGGTCCCCAATGTATTGAATGAATCGTAATTTGAAGTATGTACTTGTATATTCAAGGTTTACAATAATGCAAATTATGATTAGTTTTTTCTGACTTAAAATGTCTCATACGTATGGGATGGGTAAATAATTTAGTAAATATATGTATATAAACATGTATAAAACTCAATGAAATGTATATCTGCTACTTGAGTTAAGTATCGTTTCCAAGATGGCGGCGTCACGCAATATAAACTGTCTTAAACGGCGTTTAGAACATTTAAATCGACAGGTAATAATATACGTTAACTAATACTGTCAAATTGATTTAAAAATTTCCGTAATGAAAAATATAATTATTAATCAAACTTCGATTTCATGTTTTACTTGAATGGTGCACGATGGTTAAAAACGAGTAAAAATAATTTGAAGCAACTTCTTCCGCAATACACATAATACAATATCATAAAATAATACATATTACATAACACAATACTACTACAGATATTAGGATAGAATCAGATCCGAGAATCTTCAACTCAACAATTTAAAAAAGACAAAAAGTTACCGGAAGATACAAGTGACGAATTAACTCGTCCTATCCTCTTGGCAGATGAAATGTGAAAAAAATGGATGATAAAAATAATGAAAAATTGATAAGAAGTGCATTGACATACCTTCTGCGATGATGGCGACGATGACGCCGCTTCGACACGTTCTGCGTGCTGGTTTCCGTATCAACGGCAAACACATCCTCGACGTTCACCATCGGATTGGTGCTTTCGGTGGTGGTAGGTGACGCGTTCGACACACGCGATGATTTCAGAAAAGTATTCAGGGGCTTCGAGGCGTTCACGCTCGAGATTGGGGGTTGATGACTCTGTTTTCGAGCTGAGTGCCTCTTCTTCGTCGACGGAGTCGTCGATTCCAATCTGGAAGTTTAAACGAATTTATTGATACATACATAAAATAATAAACATACATTAAAATTAAAAAATATTTTTGAAAGAATTTTCAGAGAAATTGTTTGTTTATGTTTCAAATTATCAAAACAAATTTATTTTTCTCTTATTTTGGATAATCGAGAATTTAAGTAACAGTTTTTTAATAAAATTTAAAAATATTCCTTTCGCCGTGAAGATATTTTGTTTGTATTTCCGGAGAAATCCTTTGTTTATGTTTTTATGGATGCAATGTCCCCAACCCTTGCATCATTATTGTTTTACAAGAAGAAATTTTGAAATATGGTAAACATATCTTTCCATTGATATTTTTATTACAACAATGAGGCAGAATATAATAAACAGAATATAATGCATTCTATTTATCGTTCGTAATTAATTAATCGCATGGGTACGAAAGTCACTACAATTTTTTTAATTGGTATTTCACGTACAGGAATGTATCGGTTGAATGAGTCCACTTGGCGATAAATTTATCATTGTTCACAATATTTCTTCAGGCGTTCGTAATTCATTTTTGCAATAGGTCTCGCGAATAAAATTTCGTAATACGTTCTTTAAATGTAGATGCAATTAAAATGATTCACATTTTGCAGGTGACAGAAATATAAATTCGTACAATATTGTAGATAATTATTTCTCATTTTAATTTATATGTTACTTCTGTGAATCGGGTGTACTGCGACTGTTTACGGAGAAAATTTGTAACATTTATACAAGGTTCTAGAAACAAATAATAATTCATACTTTTCATTCACTGCTGCTTAATGTTATTGGAATACGTACTTTTACCCTTTAATGGTGTTTGACGAGTATATTCGTCATTAGGAAATGACCTCTTTTGAGGTAATGACGAGTATACTTGTCATGTGAAAAAAATAAAACACTTTATTTATAAAAAACAAAATATTAAAAAAAATTGAAAATATATTTCGTTTATTAGAATAAAGGAATCAAATCGTTACACATTTCCAAAAAAACACATCCCCCCCCCCCCCCCCCCCCCAGTAGTGGGAATGACACCGTTGTTCGTGTCGCATTCATCGAGGAATTACTGTATCATCAATTCCCCCAAACGAAAAACTCCAAGTAAGATGCTTATACACATAAACGATTACCTAAAAACCATTCATGAAGATTAAAGCACGTTTTCCCCTCTTAAACGATGAATCTAAAAAACAACCTCCATAAACGTGTCACAGAATACTTCTAATTACTCGACGCTAACATCTTCACGACACAACGGAATAATTATTCAAAAAATCATGAATACAAACGCGATGACCCAGAAGTCGTTTCACGAAACTTTCGCAACTAGAGCTTCACCATTTCCACCGTTTTAATTACTCTCTCTCGGATTCTTTATTTTTATTTTTAAATCCTCGCTTGAGCGGGCCGCCCCGTCACACGCGCCAGGTATATCACCTCAAGGAGGCGGCGAGAGATCTCTCTCGATCCCATGCCCAACGTCGTTGCGCGTAATTTTCGCATATAAAACTTTTACCTGAATTCAACGCCCTCGTCCCTCACCCCTGGCCCGACGTCGTCATTCCTCGCGTTAAAACTGAATCCACCCTCGGCCTCGCCGCCGTCCATGCTGTATTGATTCCGGTCCACCATAATTGGTTCGGATTTCTCTCGAGAAGCGACGATCTCATCGCGCTCCTGATGCGGCTCGTTAGCCTCGTGCCCGTTTTTAAACTGAAGGATCTCTGAAATCACACACATGTCCGCTAGCACAACTCTCGAGAACGAACGGCCACCCCGTTATAGCCTGCTCAGACGATGCGGTTTTTTTTACCGGTTCGGTACCTACTTTTGCCGAAACAGTAATAGGGTAGGCCGAGACTAATATTTTTATATTTCTTATATTCTCATAGAAACGAACATTTCGATTGTTCATATTGCGTCATCCTTGCCCGCCACACCCAATACAATAAACCATCAAATGTTTGACGTCCTGTTTCTTTGTTCTAAAGAATTTTTTGTTATGGTAAAATTAAGAAATAATGACCGAAGCTCCTAGTAGTTAATCGGTACTTATTCAGATGATTTCAATAAATAATAATTATCATCTTTAACATTTTATATTATAATTATATCACATACAAATACGTATAAGTATATATATTACATACATAAAAATATTAAAATTATACTAATGACAGTAAAGAAAGTACATTGTATTGTTATTTCTATGCCGTATCAAGTTATTAGTAATACTAAAAATTCAAGGCCGATTAATCGACTATGTAGTCACCGATTACAAAAACAGACGCGGTCCTGAAATCACCAGATAAATTTCCCGAAAAGTCAAGAAGATCGTCACGTACCATTTTTTAAGTCTTTTTGCCCCATTCAATTTATTCAATGCTGCTTTCGGTTGTTACTCATTCGTCAAGGATATCAAATCGGTCAATAAAATCGCGTCGTCTGAACTGGCTGTTACACGGAATCGGAAACTGGAGAGATCGTAAGGAGGGAAAAAGTTTCTTTTACTATTCTCCTCGGTTGTGTATTTACCTGTGAGACCCTCTTCCTCGACCTGGAGACCCTCTTTCAGGACCTCGTCCCGATACTTCTCCAGCTCCTCCAGGTAACTCTTGTTCAGCTTCTGCTGACGCCATTCTGTCTCGTACTGAATATTTGGCAGAGCGATATCGCCTAGGAAACCACCTGCAATGAGAACATTGAGGAAACTGTTCAGTGGATTGTGGATTTTATGGATTTTTAGTGTACTTGAATGTGAAGGTGGGAAGGATTTTGACAAAAATGTGTCTTTCACCTTCCTTCGCAGTACATATGAGTAAACTGAAGATTTTATGAATCCTCCAATTTGGACGTATTGCCACATTCTCTTGTAATCTAACAAATCCTAGTGTTGGTAATAAAAAAAAATTAATTTTATATGCTTTATAGGTACCCCCATATTAAAATTTTTTTTATAAATTGTAGGTACCCCCCGTATAAATTAAGAACCAATATGTATGTACTTACATACAGAAAACAGGTTTAGGTTACGGTAACTAACAAAACCATTCTACACAATTCTTTAATTGTGTTAACTGTGTTGTTAAAGCAAAACCGTGTTACTCGGGGTTTTCCCAAATTTTCTAACCGTGTTAGACGGAAACCGTGTTATACTGGGGTTGCCTGTCGTTTAATTTATCGTGTCCCGTGCACAACACCCACCACGATGTAACGACCAAATCTGAACGAGTGGAATATAAATGGAAGGCCTGGCTACATTCACGAATTCGCTGTTCCGCGAGGCGAAAGGAACGACTGCACGCTGTCGAGTGTCGCGTGCCAGACGATTCTCTGGCGTACACTGACGAAGATTGAGCATCAACCAGCCCCCTTCCTGTAACTCCCGAATTTACATTCCCCAACGCACGCAAACCTGACTTTCCTCGGTCCTGTCGTCCAGATGCCTTCTAATTGATACCAACAACCGAATGAGCCCATTTCCTGCCAGAAATTGCATGAAATAGAGACTTTAATCCTTCAGCTACGGCGGAACTGGCTAAAAAGAGTGCGGTCTAAATCGAATCATATGGCAAAATGAAAAAGAGTAATGTCTGTATGATTAAATAAAATAGATCGTAGTGTGTTTTATACAAAAATGCAAAACGAAGGAGATACGTCATCGTTCGTGATACCACAGACGAGATATAAGAATAGACTTAACATGCAATGTAATTTTCTGTCCCATGCTTCGGGGGCGTCAGGAGCCCCCGTACCATTTCAGTATTCCATTACTTGCTAGCGAAACCGGGGCAATAATGTATGTATGTATCGCTATATGCAGTCACGGGCGTGTGTGTGTGTGTGTGTGTGTGTGTTGTGCGTTATCACGGTGTTGTACATAGTTCCTGATATCGGAAACTTTCATGTAGAGGTGCGCCGAATCAGCATGATTTTCGTGTGACACCAAATCCCATAAGGTGTCAGGTCTATTTTTATATCTCATTTGTGGTGACACATACGGAGTCTGTCAGAAGAGAAACAAGACTGATAGCGGAGACATTTGTATTGTCAAGTTATGTAGAAATTATTATTAACCCCATTAAAAATAGTTCTCTTGTGAAAACCACACACCGTCTGCAACGTGAAAACATTGCTGAAAGTCTTCAGCTGGAACTGCTTTTAATCGGTCGATGACGGCCTTGAAGTTGTTCTATTATTTTTTGGAAAATAAAATGGTCACTTCACTGATGATTTGAGTCCATATGATTTCTTACTGTTCCCAACGATCAAAACTAATCTTAGGGGTCGTCATCTTGGAACTGTGGATGTCATCCAATAGGTTCTGACAGACCAACCGAAAGCTGTTCCAGTTGAAGACTTCCAACACTGTTTTGAGAAGTCGGAACAACGTCACCAGTGGTTTATGGCTTCACGAGGGGACTATCTTACAAGTCCAACGTCCATAAGAGATCGTCGAACCCCAAATTGGTCGACGGACACGTTCCAGACGTTCCTCGATCGTCTGACATCCGTGTTAGCATCCCAATTGATACCGATCCACCGAATAAGCGCATTTCCGAGACTCCGCTGGCCCCGACCAGACAACGCATTACGGGCCGTCGGCTATCGATGCCCCATAAATCACTTGCTCGTGTTATCGGTGAAAAGAGAGGTTTGTTCGGGCGCAGTTGTGCCGTGACCGATGTAAACAGCTCCATTGTTATCGGCTGTCGGCTCGAGGAGGGACGTGACGTGTAGAACGCGAAGGATGAACCCAAGCTGGTCCAGGAATCGCATGGATCGAGGAGAGACAAAAGGGGGAACGAGGATGAGGACCGAAAGGTCACGGACGGAAAGGGGTTGACAGGATTTCCTCAAAAGTCTGACAATTATATTAAGGTGACAGACCAATGGACAGAACCGCGTTGTCTCTTTGACCCGGTTTTTTTATGTCTACTCGCGTGAAAGATCTCGTTACGTTGGACAAAGACCAAAGGAGGGGAGCTCGTTAGAGGAGAACCGCGACAAGGAGCAAGAGGAAAAGCGATTATCCAATTCCGTGTCGACCACCCGTTCGATTCCTTAGTGGCAGGGTTAGGTGCTCGACTTGCGGAGCTTGGGAGATAATTAGATCCTAGGCATGGGGGGGAGCGCTCGGCGTTGCTCTTTCCCAGATGTTGACTCATTTGTATCGAACGGATCCGTTTCATGGAGGGCAATCCCCTTTTTCGAGCGATAACTTTGCCTTTCACGCTGAAAGGAAAGTGTGTAGATATTGAAATGCTGCGATTTTAAGAAGAATACGTATTATTATTTTGAATTCACGGGCTTGCTAGGGACCTGTAATTAGTGATAGATGGATTTTATACCGGGTCTGATTTAAATTTTAAAATTGATTCTTGTGGATGGTTCTTTAGAAACGGCCTAATTGTGTAGTATGACTTTGTGATGATTACTTTCTGAATGGCATGGTGTATGTTTATAGGTAATTGTTGATACTTTGGACGTTTTATAAATATGTTGCATATGTAGTAATTAAGGGGTCTAGTTCAAGGGGGAGCTATATCACAACAGTGGTATTGTGAGATATTAAGGCTTTCATGTAGAGATGGGCAAACTTATTGCCTAGATAAAAATTTTGGAATAATTTAATGGATTTCGTCATTTTTTCTTGTTTAAACGTGGAAATTTCGATTTTTGTAATAAAATAATACTTCTTTACGAATGAATGGACATTTGTCGAACAATTATTTAATCTCATTAACTTTTAAAGCTCTTTATTATTCGAATAAAATTCTGCCCAACACTGCTTTTATGAAAAGTAGTGTTCATCATAGTGTACTATAATTGTGAACATGTAATAATTAGACACCAAGAGATCCCAGAATTAATAAAAATCTCAATTTTCAACGGTTTTCAACGTCAATACTTTGTGTTTACGTTATTGTTATTAGTTTCTGTTATACAGAGTGTTTCATTTCTATTGATAATTATATATTCATATAAATATGGAAGTATACAAATATTAAGACACGAAAGTATTCGAATAACAGAACACGCCTATAGGTAAACGGATGATCCGTATGGAAGATCCCATTTTTGCAGACTAACGTACAAAACTGTGACTGAAACAGAACAGTGCACGATTTATTAAAGGTTTCATTAGATTTTAAATTCAAGAAAAACTTCACTCAACGTTATTAAAGTGTCGAATGTATAGCGTTTCACTGGTAATAATTAGAACGACCCTTTCCAGAACCCAATTTCACGGTCTGTTTTATAAACGGTAGAATCCAAAGAAATTTTAATCCTCCCAATGAAAGGGTTTTATTGAATCGAAAGTAAAGTTAAAGTTGGTCGTTGGTTCCGGTTAAAGTTTGCGTTTCATTGCGCTTTATGCATTTAAATATGTCATAAATGCAGAGAATTCGCAGCCCACTGATAACTGCAGCGCTCGTACTGGACGTAATATTAATAATAAATCGACAAAGCGGGACGGCTGTGAAACAGAGGAGGAGGGGAAAGAACGGGGGCTTTGTGATAAAGTAGAATCGTACCAAACGTGTGTAATTCAGACTGCTCGGTGCGCACGAATAGCAGTCTACATACTCTACGCGTCTTTTTGTTCCCTCTTGGTGGCCTTTGACTCTCCCGGTTGCAGACCGTTTACGCTTTTGTATCGTTGACGAAATACTTATCGACGTTAGCTTATCGGTGTTTTCATAACAGAAGATCATTGTAAAAGTTCAAAGTCATTTTACGTAGTTGCACATTATGCGTCCTTCTTCACGAGACTTTTTTTTTCCCGATCAATATAGTGAAAGCTTACGATCTATACATTCCATACGTTGCCAGTCGAACACGGGGGAACAATTTATTAACCATTGATATTATTAAAAAGTATAAATTATAATAAATTTAATAATTCTTGATTAATTCTTATATTGTAGGCGGAAGAAGGCAATCACAATCTTTTCTCCATGTTCCGTAAGATATAGATTTCAATTTCGATTTATCACTTTGACTGTCACGTAACCCAAACATGGCTGACACGTATATTGCAAATAGACTAAAAGACGAAATAAATTGTGTCTTGCTACGTACGGCCTTTTTCACTGTGGCAGACAACCTGTTAATATGCTGTTAGGAACGAATTATTTCTTTGATATGTAAGTGAATATGGTGGTCCTCCAATATTATTAATTAAATTATCATTGTTTTCGTCGTTTTAAAAATTCATTTCCACATGGATTGCCCTTAATTTCTATATTGACTAAAAATTCGCTTCACAGGTTAATAATACATAACGCGTAAGAGACATGCATGTTACAAATGGAACATCACGAGACAGTTTGTAAATTAGTAATTTCAACTTTATGCATTATTATTAAGAACGTTTTTCCTACAAATAATTCGGAAAAATACTGAGTAATGATATTTTGATACATCGAGGTCATAATCGAAAGAAATCTCGACTTTGTTAGATCTTTACCAACAAATTGCATCGTTTATTAAACAGCGTTATTTTTATTATTTGCAAAAAGGACTTTATAACGACTTTTTAATAAATCGAGGTCACAAACGAAAGAAATCCTCACTTTGCTGGGTCTTCGTCAAGAAACTGTATTGCTTCTATTAAATTGCATTACTTTTATTATTTGCAAAGAAAAAGACCGTATAATGACTCTTCGGCAAATCGAGGTCAC